CAACAATTACACTTGGTTCCCCTGAATTCCCACCACAGTTCTAGCTTAGTACAACATTATTCTTCCTTATTCTAAAAATGTTGAAATGTTTCATTCCTAATCTGGCATAATTTTCTTCTCTTCTAAAAATGCAAACTATAGCATCTAAGAAGCTTGTTAACATTTCCCATTCTACAATCAATCATCAGCCTAAAATAACCTTCACTTTAACTGCATGCATTGCCTTTTCCACTGCTGCATTCTTTTCCTTAATCATCATCTTATTTCAGGCAATGAACAGGATATTTTAAAAGTACCAGCTATTTAGATAACTTGCAAAACAAATACTTTGGACCATACAGTCTCCTGTTTGTGAGCAATCATGACCTGACTTCAGGGCATACTAACTGAAAACAGATTATCTAGCAATTAGCTTACGCGATGTAGTATTATTTAACATAATCAGAAAGATTAAAATTGAGTGAGAGGCAGAAATGTATCTCAAGACTAAATTAAGGTGATGCAGAATGACTATCTTTCTCCACAGAGACTCCACTTTGGGAGGCAGAACAACATTATCTATATAGTCCTATGTGTGGTTTCCAAGAACTGTTTCGGGAATGATTTTTCTGCAAAATTTCTTTCTCCATTACCTTCTTTCCTTCCTTCTGAGCACAAAGTTATGCTAATACTCTTACAGATAACAGCAGAGCCTCCTACCTTATGATTATCATTTATATCATTCACCAAAAGTTCCTTAAATCTAAAAGGCAAGGAGCCTGTTCCTTTTTGTTTGCTTTTTTTAACGTTCAGGCTTCACCTATTTGTCTCCCAAATTAGCAAGTCACATACACTGTATTGTTGGCACTTAGCAGCACAGGACAGTCTCCATGAGGCGGGTCATGCCTTAACTCACTATTTATTCTAGAGGATAAGACCTATGAACTAGCAGGTCCATTCATATGTACTCCACCTTAACCTAGAAGTCTCAGATGACTGGAAGGCAGCCGCAGTATACGGCGCATATGTAAAGTGCATCTCTCCTAAGCACCGTGCAACTGCTATACTGTTATTCAGGAGAGTTTTCATATCAAAAGTACCAATACACTCATAACCAATGTACTTTGTTTTCCTGAAGTTCCAACGGTCTTTGTTTTGCTGCTATGCCTGAATTGTCCTCCCTCTCCTTCTGGAAAGAAGCAACATCTGTTTACTGAAGGTGAACAGTATGCCAACGACACGTAACACTGTTTTTACATCCTGAATCATCCAACAAAATCCTGAAGCTGCAGATGCAGAGAAGTCCCAATACTCCAGCAGAACTCTCTCTAGCTCTCTTTTCTTGATCCCAACTCTGTCTGAGTCCTTTCTACCATCTTTCACAAAAATAAAGCAGGTCATCAAATCTATTGAAATATTATTTTGACAACACTTAGCAGGAATTTGTGCCAAAAAAAAAAAGAAGTGAGGGAAAAAGAAAAAAAGAACAAGAAACTGTATGTTGGGGTTTTTTTTAATGGGAGGCAAGTCCCAGGAGTCCACATTTATCCGCACAGGTAGTCAGCTATTTTGGTCTCCTCCTCTCCCTAAAAACAGGGAGGAGTGTGAAAAACAGCAGAGAACACTCAGGCCGATGACAGTGTTAAAGGAGTGGAGGTTAAATTTTAGCCCCAAAAGGTAAAGTGAACAGAAGGGGGCAGGCTGGCAAAGAGGAGATAAAAATAGAAGAGTGACTAGACTTCACTTGAGTGCTATTTCTGGATCAGCTATGGAAAGAGGTCTGAAGAGGTTTTCTATTTGCAAGGGGAGAGAGAGACTAAAACATAGTTGCCTTCTAGAAGGCCACAGTCCTGCATAGCAGTTTTGTTTATGCTTCTAGTTTTCTAAATCCTTGCATTCTCACTATTTGGAAACAGTGCTGTTCAGCCAAAATGTCATTATGCGTCTAAGTGAGTAACCAGATTAGGTTTTCTGGAGCAGGACAGCAATGCGTGTGGCATTTCAATCTAACAGAAACAAAGCTGACAGCACATTGTAAAGGTGTGTAGCAAATCACAATGCCAGGCAGAGTAAACTAAGCCACATAATACTTTAGGAAAATAACCAAAGCCCTGCAGTATCTCTGAGAGGATGTCTTGTGTTTTCCCACTCTAAAACGATTAGTGAAATTCTAACTAGTTCCAATTACGGACACAGACTAAAGACGACAACAGGGACCTCCCAATTACAGTATGTAGTGCTTGACTGACACATGGCTCTGGGGATAAATGTTTCTGCCTGTTCGAGCCCTTTCCTCTCGAGTACCTCAGTTAAAATTCCCTCCATTGAGTAATTTCTATCCAGATCCTGGCTGTGCTGGCTTTGTTCCCATATAAAAGAAAACCTGCAGGCAGAAAGCAGTACCATCTGCCAAGTCAGATGCTTTAATGGGCAAGTTTGGTGTGAAGGGGAACAGACTATTAGGCTTTATCTTCAGCAGCAGGAGTGATGTTTTTCCTTTCCCAGGAGTAGGTTACAGTGAGCACACTCATGCCTGAAGTATTTTGTCCACAAATATATGTAGATCTCAATGGATACTGCACAAGCAACCTTCAGAAAAAAAGAAAATGCATCCAGCATTCCTTTTTTCCTGTTCAACTTGCAATTCAATCTTTACATTTCTCTTTACCTGTCAGACCAGTTGTTTTTTTCTGTGACAGCTTCATCAGCCTCCACTTTCTATTCCTGTAAGTGAATGATAACCCCGCCATCACACCTAGGAAGTATGAGCAGTGGCAAGGCAGAAACACCAAGGCCCTATAGTCCCTACACAGAGAATTCTGCACTGAAACCGTTTCTGTACATTTCCGTACATCCTTGCAAATATCTTCAGGGCTAGGAAAAGATCTTTCTGTTCTTGCCAATTAACCAAGTAGTTTTTATCCTTCCTTGTTGGGTAATCTTCTCATTAGACCATCTTTGGAGAGAATAGCGAATTCTCTCTGGGCTGCTGGCAGTTTTACTTAATTGCATATTTAACTTTTTATTCAGCAGTTAAACTCATAACAATGAGAAATACATACACGCAAGCAGCAAACTATTATCTACCATTTAAACTCCCTAGAGAACTCATAAACATCTTAAAATTTCTGTCCCTTTCAGAAGAAAAGTGCATACATTCCAAACCTTGGGGGGGGTGGGGGTGGGGGGGGTGTTAACAAACACATATATAACGTAATTTCAGTGATATATTAGTCATTACTGACAAAACTCCAGTTTGGGAAAGGGGGTCGTGCTTTGGTCCTTAATATATTTCAAAAGTTCTGAAAACAATCAGCCAACTTAATCAGTGCTAAACAGAAACTCGTATTAGAGGATCTACTATAGGTTCCTCCTCCCCATCAGGCAGAGGACATTGTGTCAGGGCACAGCAACTTAATCTCTCTTCTCCCCTTCCCCAACTCTGAGCGCTGAATTAAAAAAACATTTTACAGATGCTATTATCCATAGGAACATATTTCCTATTTGATTCCAGAGCTACAGAATTTGCTCTGGAACACACTTGTTGCCACTGGATTGTGCTCTGGAATGGCAACTTCTATTTAAAAATGCTTTCAGCCCTTACAACTTGCAAAACCTTTGAAGTATGAACGGTATACAATCAGCAACAAAGCCGCTTAACTCTTCAGAAACAGCAGAACAGCTTCAGTATTAACTATTATCCTTCATCACAGTATGCTAAGTACAGAAATTAACGTTGATAACACTTCAAACGGATCTGATTAATGGATCACCTCATAGTTGTAAAAACCTGACACTCCCCTATGCAGGCACAAAACCCCAGTACTTCCAGTCTGTTTGCCAAAACCTCCAGTTTCCCCATGATAAACTTCTGTGAGTCAGCCACATGAAGCTAATACAAAACCCAGTGTGATAAAGAAAATGAGAGCGTTGGAAATAATGTGAATTACTCAACATGTTATTGTATTATAAGCTTTTCTAGTTCCTCTATTAAAAATCTTTTCAATACACAAAGCTACCAGATATTTCCAGTCTGTTCTATCAAAGTGCAAAGGCTTTGCTGGGGATAGCAGTTCTAGCTTGGTAAAACCACATCCAGACCTTGGCAAACCTTCCAGCTGACCGCTAGCAGATTTGTCCTGCTGTCAGCAAACATGGAGCGTGAGGTTTAAGAAAAGGAAGGGTACCTGAAAGCCTTCTAGACATCTCAACTAATCAGATTAACACCAGCAAGGACTCAGTAACATTTTTAAGTAATTCTCATGACAATTACTTCAGCTGGTTTTCAGTCTTACCATACAGAACCATCCTGGTTCTGATTTGAGCTGCTTTTTTCTAACAATGTGGTTTAAAAGCATCAGGGAAATCTTCAAGTTTAAAAGCTGCAGAGCAAAAGGCAGGTAAGCTTTATGTTCTCTAATGAATGGTTGTTGCTGCATTTATTTAAGTGGTACTTATCATCATAAATATCTACTAAACTTACTTGCCAATACTGGTGTAATCAGTGCTTTCCCAGGTAATACCCTTCTGCAAATGAATCGCAAAAATAAAGACAAGAATAAGTGAGTAAACAACTAGAAATGGCCCTTAAGAAAAGTCTTCAAAGGGAGGAAAGCCTGAAGACCAATGAGCATTTAACCGTTTCCTAGTTTAGGCCTATTTCATTGCACAAGATCCAAAATAGTTTCCTTCCCAAATATTGCATAATATGCTCATTCAAAATCTAGCAAGCTTTCTCACAGAACACACCAAGACACTGTTCTCTCCCCAGCTTTTTTGTCTTTTAAATATGAACAAGAGAATTTCACAGCTGATAACATTCTTCTGGAAACCTCACACAGAATATTCTGGAAAAGACTCAAGTTTGGACTACAATGTTGTAAGTAATAGCAAACATCTCCACATATTCAAATTCTTCATGCAGCACTTGTGAAATGTAAGCAACAGAACAAGTAGCTTTTACAGGGCTTCGGAAGTGAACTCTGGCCATAAATAAGGAAAAAAAGAAAAAGCCTACATACCTTCAAAGCACATTTCTGGCCTGTCTCCTTGTTGAAACACTCCAGTACTTTGCCATTGATTCCTAACCCTAGCACCCGTTTGGAGAGTTTGTAGTCATCCGTAACTGCATGTTTTTTTATCTCCAGTTTGACATGGGCCACTCCCCCAGGCAAGGATTTCACGCTGCTCTTGCTATCCACGTGACTCTCTGGCTGGGATTCCTGTTCACCTTCACTTTGTTCCATATCAGGGAAGAGTCTGAGATGACAGAGATACCCAATAGATTCCCTGTGGGGTATCCTCAGCAGAGTCCCTCCTCTTAGGCGATCAAACCCAGTGCTTCAAACAGTCCATTTGCTCGACATTTAGTCCTGAGTAAAGATGTAAATGAGTATTAATATAGAATAAATTAATTATATTAAATTATATTAATTATTATAGTAATAAACCCATCAGGTTGGATGGGGCTCTGAGCAACCTGATCTAGTTGAAGATGTCCCTGCCCATGGCAAGGGGGCTGGACTAGATGACCTTTAGAGGTCCCTTCCAACCCAAACTATTCTATTCTATTAGTAATTGATGTGAACTAACCGTTCTCTCACCTAACCACTTTTCTCTCTTCCTTTCTTAACAAGATGACCAGGCACTAGGGAGACCAAAAGTGGAGGTTCATCTCAGGAAAGCACGCTTTGTTTAGCTTTACAGACCAGTCACCCCAGTTCCAATATACACAGATATCAATCCGCAGTTATAAATTACTGCTTTTACTGCAACAAGTGCCCGCACTGAGTCTCGGACTAAAGTCTTACTCATCTAAACTCTGTACAACAGAACAGCAATGGCCTCTGCTTTGAGGAGATTATAAACCTGCATCAACAACTTGTTGCCTCAACATTTTGTGTAGAAATCTCCACAAAGGTCCCCTGCCTCATCCCGACGCTCCAAGTTACGCACGAGAACCACGAATACCTGGATTCAACCCCAGAGGGGCACTGCCTGGGCAGGCATTGGACCTAATGCCAGGCCAGCGCTTACAGAATTGCCCCAGTCCACAGAGCAAGAGGCAGGTGCGGCATTACTTAGGCGACCATCGAACACCCAAAAATTCGGGTACGCGGGGATGCAACAGCATGGCTCCTGAAACCAAGGAGCTGCCTGACACCACTGGGGACCAGAAGGCCTCTGGCCTCTCAGGAGCACAGCCCCGGGGGAGGTACGGGTGCCGGGGCCTCCGAGCCCCGTTAACACGGCTGAGCCACAAGCAGGCAACGTGCCACGGGGAGGCTAAGGGCCGTTCCTCACGCCGGGGGGCTGCCGGGCCCGGGGCCCAC